CAAAACTGTGAGCACAGGTGTGAGCACAGGTGTGCAAATCTGTGAGCACAGGTGTGAGCACAGGTGTGCAAAGCTGTGAGCACAGGTGTGCACAGGTGAGCACAGATGAGCACAGGTGTGCAAAGCTGTGAGCACAGGTGTGCACAGGTGTGAGCAGAGGTGTGAGCAGCACATTTGCACACTTAGGTGTGGCTGCTCAGGTGTGCGAGAGCTGCCACACCTGCGTTGCTCTGCGCTCACACCTGCAGCCATTACCTGTGCGTGCTCACAGGTGCGTGTCATCGCTACGCCTGCCCAGGTGTGTCACTGTCACACCCTCCCAAGTGTTTGTGCTCACACAGGTGTGTGTCACTGTCACACCTGCCCAGGTGTGTCGCTGCCCCACCTGTGCCCCGTCGCACACGCGTGTGCAGAGGGGCGCGGGGGCTGCGTGTGCAGGGGGCACACCTGGACGTGCAGCTGGATCCAGGTGTGCACGAGGAGCTGTGGGTGCGCAGCCCCAGGTGTGCGCAGCTCAGGTGTGCACAGGTGTGCACAGCTCAGGTGTGCAAGAGGGCTGGGAGTGCACAGGCCCCAGGTGAGCTCAGGCACAGGGGTGCCCAAGGATCCAGGCGTGCACAAGGCACAGGTGTGCACAGGCGTGCCCAGACGTGCCCAGGTGTGCACATCCCAGGTGTGCACAGATGTGCCCAAAGATCCAGGTGTGCCCAGGTGTGCACAGCCCAGGTAAGCCCATCCAGGTGAGCCCATCCAGGTGTGCACAAGGATCCAGGAATGCCCAGGTGAGCCCATCCAGGTGTGCACAAGGATCGAGGTGTGCCCAGGTGAGCCCAAGGATCCAGGTGTGCACATCCAGGTGTGCCCATCCAGGTGTGCACACAGATCCAAGAATGCCAAGGTGAGCCCATCCAGGTGTGCCCAGGTGAGCCCATCCAGGTGTACACACGGATCCAGGTGTGCACACGGATCCAGGTGTGCACGCGGATCCAGGTGAGCCCATCCAGGTGTGCACACGGATCCAGGTGTGCCCATCCAGGTGTGTACACGGATCCAGGTGTACACACAGATCCATCCAGGTGTGCACACAGATCCAGGTGTACACACAGATCCAGGTGTGCACACAGATCCAGGTGTACACACAGATCCAGGTGTGCCCATCCAGGTGTGCACACAGATCCAGGTGTACACACAGATCCAGGTGTGCACACAGATCCAGGTGTGCCCATCCAGGTGAGCCCATCCAGGTGTGCCGGCCCGGCCGTGCCGCAGCCCCCGCGCTGCCCCGGGGGTTTTGGGGGGTCGGGGGTCCCCGGGAGGGTGGGGGAGGGGAGACTCACAGGCTCGGGGGGGCCCCGCGGTCCGGGGGGGCTGGGCCGGGCCCTGCGGGAGGAGGAGGAGGAGAGAGACACGTTAGGCCCCGCCCCCCGCTCCGGCACCTGTGGGAAGAAGCCGCGGCCCCGCCCCGGCCCCCAATGAGTGACCCTGAACTGACCCTGAGTGACCCTGAACTGATCCTGAGTGACCCCTGAGTGACCCTGAGTGACCCTGAGTGACCCGGAACTGACCCTGAACTGACCCTGAGTGACCTCAAACTGACCCCTGAGTGACCCCTGAGTGACCCTGAACTGCCCCTGAGTGACCCTGAACTGCCCCTGAGTGACCCTGAACTGCCCCTGAGTGACCCTGAACTGCCCCTGAGTGACCCTGAACTGCCCCTGAGTGACCCTGAACTGCCCCTGAGTGACCCTGAACTGCCCCTGAGTGACCCTGAACTGCCCCTGAGTGACCCTGAACTGCCCCTGAGTGACCCTGAACTGCCCCTGAGTGACCCTGAACTGCCCCTGAGTGACCCTGAACTGCCCCTGAGTGACCCTGAACTGCCCCTGAGTGACCCTGAACTGCCCCTGAGTGACCCTGAACTGCCCCTGAGTGACCCTGAACTGCCCCTGAGTGACCCTGAACTGCCCCTGAGTGACCCTGAACTGCCCCTGAGTGACCCTGAACTGCCCCTGAGTGACCCTGAACTGCCCCTGAGTGACCCTGAACTGCCCCTGAGTGACCCTGAACTGCCCCTGAGTGACCCTGAACTGATCCTGAGTGACCCTGAGTGACCCGGAACTGACCCTGAACTGACCCTGAGTGACCCTGAGTGACCCCAGCTGACCTTCACTGACCCCGGCCCTGCCCCGGCCCCCCGAGCTGCCCCCCGGGGGGGTTTTTTTTTGGGGGGGGGTATTTTTTGGGGTCTATTTTTGGGGGGCTCTTTGATTTGGGGGGGTCGGAGAGATGGGGGAGGGGTCACACGGGTGGGGGGAGGGGAGGGGCGAGAGAGGAGACAAAGAGAAAAGAGATTAAACGGCTCCGGCCCCCCCAGCCCGGGGGGACCCCGAAACCCCCCGGGACCCCAGACCCTGCGGGGGGAGGGGCGGCGGCACCCGCGGGGGGACCGGGACGGACACACGGACACACGGACGGACGGACACGGACATGGGATGGACACACGGACATGGGATGGACACACGGACAGACGGACACACGGACACGGGACGGACATGGGATGGACACACGGACACGGGATGGACACACGGACACGGGACGGACACACGGACACACGGACAGACGGACACGGGATGGACATGGGATGGACACACGGACAGGGGGATGGACAGAGGAGCAAGGGGGACACGGAGGGACCGAGGGACGGACACACAGCAGGAGGGACTGACGGACGGAGGGGTGGATGGACAGATGGACACCAGGATGGGCAGGAGGACGGACAGAGGGACGGCAAGGAGCTGGACAGAGGGACAGGGGACAGAGGGATAGAGGGACAGGGGACAGCGGGACAGAGGGACAGGGGACAGAGGGACAGAGGGACAGGGGACAGCGGGACAGAGGGACAGGGGACAGAGGGACAGAGGGACAGGGGACAGCGGGACAGAGGGACAGGGGACAGAGGGACAGAGGGACAGGGGACAGCGGGACAGAGGGACAGGGGACAGAGGGACAGAGGGACAGGGGACAGCGGGACAGAGGGACAGGGGACAGAGGGACAGGGGACAGAAACGGGGAAGAGTCGATGAGGGGGAGGATGGACAGACAGAGCCATGGACAGACAGACGGACAGACACGGAAAGGGGGGGATGGGGACGGCCGGGCTGGGGATGATGGGCGGGGGTGATGGACGGACAGACGGACAGGGGACAGACGGACACACAGACGGGGGCGCAGGGCTCCCCTCCCCCGCACTCCTGAGCCCCTCGGGGGGGGTCGGACCCCCCGCCCCTCCCCCCCCGCCCTGGAGGGAGAGAGAGAGAGACGGCGATGGGGGAGGGGCGGCCCTGAGTGTGCGCTGAGTGTGAGCTGAGTGTGCCCTGAGTGTGAGCTGAGTGTGCCCTGAGTGTGTGCTGAGTGAGCTGAGCGTGCCCTGAGTGTGCCCTGAGTGTGAGCTGAGTGTGCCCTGAGTGTGCTCTGTGTGTGAGCTGAGTGTGAGCGGAGTGTGCTCTGAGTGTGCGCTGAGTGTGCCCTGAGTGTGCTCTGAGTGTGCTCTGAGTGTGAGCTGAGTGTGCCCTGAGTGTGCTCTGAGTGTGCCCAGCTGTGCCCAGGTGTGTCCCAGGTGTGTCCGCCGTGCTTTGCTCACACCCCTGGCGTGTGTTCAGCATGCCCAGGTGTGTCCCAGGCATGTCCAGCTGTGCCCAGGTGTGTCCCGGGTGTGTCCCAGATGTGTCCCACATGTCCCAGGTGTGTCCCACATGTCCCAGGTGTGCCCAGGTGTGCCGAGGTGTGTCCCAGCTGTGTCCGCCGTGCTGTGCTCACACCCCCCGCGTGTGTTCCGCGTGCCCAGCTGTGCCCTTGGCGTCCCCAGCCTGCCCAGGTGAGTTTGGCACCTGCCCTCCTGCACACCAGGTGTGCACCGAGCGCTCAAGGCATGTGCTTAGCATGTCCTTAGCATGCACAGGTGTGCTCAGAGCTCTCAGGTGTGCTCAGAGCGCTCTCAGGTGTGCTCAGAGCTCTCTCAGGTGTGCTCAGAGCCCTCTCAGGTGTGTTCAGAGCTCTCAGGTGTGCTCAGAGCTCTCAGGTGTGCTCAGAGCTCTCAGGTGTGCTCAGAGCTCTCAGGTGTGCTCAGAGCTCTCAGGTGTGCTCAGAGCTCTCAGGTGTGCTCAGAGCTCTCAGGTGTGCTCAGAGCTCTCAGGTGTGCTCAGAGCTCTCAGGTGTGCTCAGAGCTCTCAGGTGTGCTCAGAGCCCTCTCAGGTGTTTGCTGTGTGTTTAACGTGCCCAGGTGTGTCCAGGTGTTGATCGTGTCCTTGGCACACCCTCACTGTGTTCAGGGACCTTCGACCCACGCCAGGTGTGTCCCTGGCGTGTGCAGGTGTGAGCTGGGTGTGTCCCGAGCGTGCCCAGGTGTGTTCAGCCCACGCCAGGTGTGCCTTTACTGCTCACGTCACGTGCTCAGGTGTTCACTGTGTCCTTAGCGTGTCCAGGTGTGTTCACCTGCCCAGGTAAATTTACCTGTCCCAGGTGTGTTCACCCACCCCAGGTGTGTTCACCTGCCCAGGTGAGGGCTGGGCTCCCTCAGCCCCGGGGCTGGCACAGGTGTGTTCGTGCCATGTTCCTTCTGTGGTTTTTGCGTGTTTTTGGCATAGTTTTGGTGTGGTTTTGGCCATGTTTTTTGCATGGTTTTGGCCATGTTTTTGCTGTGTTTGTGTCGTGTCCCTGCCGTGTTTTTTGCGTATTTCTGACAATGTTTTTGCCGTGTTCCTGCCATGTTTTTGCCCTGTTTTTTGCACAATTTTGGCCATGTTTTTGCTGTGTCTTTGTTGTGTCCCTACCATGTTTTTTGCGTATTTCTGACAATGTTTTTGCCATGTTCCTGCCGTGTTTTTTACATGGTTTTAGCCATGTTTTTGCTTTGTTTTTGCCGTGTCCCTGCCATGGTTTTTGCATATTTCTAACAATGTTTTTTCCATGTTCCTGCCCTGTTCCTGCCATGGTTTTGCTGTATTTTTTGCATGGTTTTAGCCATGTTTTTGCTGTGTTTTTGTCGTGTCCCTGCCGTGGTTTTTGCTTATTTTTGACAATGTTTTTGCCGTGTTCCTGCCGTGTTTTTGCCATGTTTTGGTTGTGTCCCTGCTATGGTTTTTGCCATGTTCCTGATGTGTTTTTGCCGTGTTCCTGCCATGTTTTTTGCACGGTTTTTGCCGTGTCCCTGCCATGTCCCTGCCGTGTCCCTGTGCCCGTGGCGTGTCCCGGGGCCGGTGCCGTGTCCGGCCCTGTCCGGCCGTTCCCTCGGGCGGCTCCGGCGGCGGCTGCAAAGCAAAGCTGGGGGAGGGGCTGGGGGGTTTTGGGGGTCCCGCGACGGCGCCTGGGGAGAGACGGGGTCATCCCAACCCCCCGAGGACCCCCGGGTCACACAGAGCCCGCTGGGGGTTGGGGGTTGCGGCGCCCGCACCGGGACGGACACAGGGGGGTCACAGCCCGGCCTGGGGGGACAAACGTGACACGGGGGGACCCCAGGGGGGCACAACCCCCCCCTCCCCCCAGACCTGAGGGGGAGACCCCCCCAGTCCCACCCCCACCCCCCAAAAGGTGCCTGGGTGCCCCTAGGGTTGGGGGTCATGGGGGTCTGTGGAGTCCCTGTGGGGTCCCTTGGGTGCTGTGGGGACACGGGGGCACTCTGGGGTCCCCATGGGTGTTGTGGGTGGGACACGGGGACACTCTGGGGTCCCTTGGGTGCTGTGGGGACACGGGGACACTCTGGGGTCCCTTGGGTGCTGTGGGGACACGGGGGCACTCTGGGGTCCCCTTGGGGTCCCTTGGGTGCTGTGGGGCGGGACTCCCCGGGCGCACCTCTGGGTGCTGTGGGGCTGGGGGGGCACTGCAGGGCAGTGGGGCAGGGTCTGTAGGGCAGGGCCGTGGGACAGAATGGGGTTATGGGGCAGAGCTGTGGGGCAGCGATCCCTGTGGGGGACACACGGAACTTCCAGGTACTCATAGGTGCCAGAACTGGGGGTGCTGTGGGGCGGGACAGCGCAGAGCTGTGGGGCAGGGCAGAACAGAGCTGCGGGGCAGGACAGGATCTATGGGGCAGGACAGGATCTGTGGGGCAGGACAGGATCTGTGGGGCAGCACTCGCTGTGGGGCACGCAGTCCTGCTGCACCTCCAGGTATTTGTAGGGGCTGGGGCAGGGGGTGGCTCTGGGGTGCTGTGGGGCAGGACGGGATCTGTGGGGCAGGACGGGCTCTGTGGGGCAGGGCTGTGGGGCAGCACTCACTGTAGGGCACGCAGTCGTACTGCACCTCCAGGTATTTGTAGGTGCCCGGGCAGGGGTCGGGGAAGGCGTCGGAGCCGGCGACCACCACGCACTGAGTGCGGTTATTGCACCTGGGGACACGGGGACACGTCAGGGACAGGGGACACGGGGACACGGGGGGACATGGCAGGGACGGGGGGGCATGGGGACAGGGCAGGGACAGGGGGACACAGGGACATGGCAGGGACAGGGGGACACAGGGACGCATCAGGGACACGTCAGGGACATAGGGACATGTCACAGACACAGGGGGACACGGCAGGGACACGGGGGGGACACAGAGGGATGTGGGACAGGAAGGGACACAGAGCCAGAGGGAGGTGAAGGGACCTGAAAGGACATGGGACACCGGGGGACATGGGGACAATGGGGGGTCACGGGGGGGACATCAGGGAACAGCAGGGGGGACACAGGGGACACAGGGACATGAGGAGACACGGGGGGACACAGGACACAAAGGGACACAGAGACATTGGGGGACACATGGGGACAGCAGGGACATGGGGACACGGAGGATGTGGAGCTGGGGACGTGGGGACAGCAGGACAGGGGGGACACACGGGACACGGGACCAGGGACACGGGACATGAGGGACACAGGGACAGTGGGGACACGGGGCAGGGCACAGGTGTGGCCCTGGCACTTGGGGACACAGGACACAGGTGCCACCGCCAATGTCCCTGGGGCTGGGGGGACAATGCCTGCCGTGGGGACACGGGGACATCCTCGAGCTGTGCCACCCCCGTGCTGTCCCCAAGCTGCACCCAGGGCCACCCACCCTTGGTGTCCCCATGTCCCCCCCCCCCGTGCCACCTCCACGCCTCCAACTGTCCCCAGGTGTCCCCACGTCCTTCCTGTCCCCAGGTCCCCCCCACGTCACCACAGGGCCAAGTCCCCACATGTCCCCAAGTCCCCAACACATCCCCGCTCTCCCATGTCCCACCCTCCTGTGTGCCTGTCCCCATGTCCCCAGGGTGTCCTCAAGGTGTCCCCATGTCCCCAGGGTGTCTCCAAGGTGTCCCCAGCCTTCCACATGTCCCCATGTCCCCCCGTGTCACCCCCATGTCCCCTCTGTGCCATCATGTGCAGGGCCAGGGCCACATCCCTGGTGTCCCACAATATCCCCATGTCCCTGTGTCCCCACGATGTCCTCATCCCCCTGCACAGCCCTGTCCCCATGTCCCTACCTGTCCCTCTGTCCCCATGTCCCCGCGCCCATTGCTGTGTTCCTGTCACCCGCCTGTCCCCATGTCCCCAACCTCCTACACCTTCCCAATGTCCCAATGTCCCAATGTCCCCAGTGTCCCCAGTTCCCCCAATGTTCCCACTGTCCCCAATGTCTCCAATGTCCCCAGTGTCCCCAACGCCCCCAGTGTCCCAATATCCCTATTGTCCCCAGTGTCCCCAACGCCCCCAATGTCCCCAGTGTCCCCAGTTCCCCCACTGTCCCCACTGTCCCCAACACCCCCACTGTCCCCGGTGTCCCCGTGTCACCTCTGGGCCATGACGGGCTGTGCCCGGGGTGGGTGGCACTGCACGTTCGCCATCTGCCCGGGGTTCCCGATGTCCCAACGCCCCCAATGTCCCCAATATCCCCATTGTCCCCACTGTCCCCAACGCCCCCAATGCCCCCAGTGTCCCCAGTGTCCCCAACGCCCCTGGTGTCCCCGGTGTCCCCGTGTCACCTCTGGGCCATGATGGGCTGTGCCCGGGGCAGGTGGCACTGCACGTTCGCCATCTGCCCGGGGTTCCTGATGTCCCAATGTCACCAGTATCCCCACTGTCCCCAATGTCCCCAGCGCCCCCAGTGTCTCCAGTATCCCCAATGTCCCCAACGCCCCCAACGCCCCCAGTGTCCCCAATGCCCCCAGTGTCCCCACTGTCCCCAATGTCCCCAACGCCCCTGGTGTCCCCGGTGTCCCCGTGTCACCTCTGGGCCATGATGGGCTGTGCCTGGGGCAGGTAGCACTGCACGTTCGCCATCTGCCCGGGGTTCCCGATGTCCCAACGCCCCCAGTGTCCCCAATATCCCCATTGTCCCCAATGTCCCCAACGCCCCTGGTGTCCCCGTGTCACCTCTGGGCCATGATGGGCTGTGCCTGGGGCAGGTAGCACTGCACGTTCGCCATCTGCCCGGGGTCGGCGTCGCAGATTTTGTCGTCGGTGCGGCCGTAGTTGGCGTCGGCCACCAGCACGACGTCGCTGCCGGGGCAGCGCAGCTCCAGCGGGTACCCCTCGCACGCCAGCTCCCGGCGCGCCAGCCCGAACGGCAGCGCCCCCCGGATCAGCCCTGCAACCCAAACGGGGTCAGGGAACCCCAAATGGGGTCAGGGAACCCCAAAACACCCGCAGCATCCCAAAACACCCAGCCTACCCCAATCCCTCTGTGCCAGATCCCACTGTGCCAGCCCCAGATCCCACTGTGCCAGCCCGAACGGCAGCACCCCCCGGATCAGCCCTGCAACCCCAAAACGGGGTCAGGGAACCCCAAAACACGTGGGGCACCCCAAAACCTCCACACCACATCCCACTGTGCCAGCCCGAACGGCAGCGCCCCCCGGATCAGCCCTGCAACCCAAAACGGGGTCAGGGAACCCCAAAACACACGGGATACCCCAAAACCTCCACACCACATCCCACTGTGCCAGCCCGAACGGCAGCGCCCCCCGGATCAGCCCTGCAACCCAAAACGGGGTCAGGGAACCCCAAATGGGGTCAGGGAACCCCAAAACACGCGGGATACCCCAAAACCTCCACACCACATCCCACTGTGCCAGCCCGAACGGCATCGCCCCCCGGGTCAGCCCTGCAACCCCAAAATGGGGTCAGGGAACCCCAAAACACCCGGGGTACCCCAAAACCTCCACATCCAACCCCACTGTGCCAGCCTGAACGGCAGCGCCCCCCGGGTCAGCCCTGCAACCCCAAAACAGGGTCAGGGAACCCCAAACGGGATCAGAGAACCCCAAATGGGGTCAGGGAACCCCAAAACACCCGGGGCACCCCAAAACCTCCACATCCAACCCCATTGTGCCAGCCAGAATGGGAGTGCCCCCCGGATCACCCCTGCAACCCAAACGGGGTCAGGGAACCCCAAAACACGCGGGATACCCCAAAACCTCCACACCACATCCCACTGTGCCAGCCCGAACGGCATCGCCCCCCGGGTCAGCCCTGCAACCCCAAAATGGGGTCAGGGAACCCCAAAACACCCGGGGTACCCCAAAACCTCCACATCCAACTCCACTGTGCCAGCCCGAATGGCAGCGCCCCCCGGATCAGCCCTGCAACCCCAAAACGGGGTCAGGGAACCCCAAATGGGGTCCCTCACCCCCCCCCGTGCCCTGCTCAGCCCTCGGGGTGCAGGGACCACCTGCTCCCAAACCCCAAATCAGGGACCCTGGGCACCCCCCGGCCCTGCAGCCCCCAGCCCCAAATCCCAAACACTCGGGACCCCAATCCCAAACACTCGGGACCCAAAATCAGGGGCATTTGGGATCCCCAGTCCCTGACACCTGAGACCCCCAAACCTGGACAAAGGGGACCCCCAATGAATGTTTGGGACCCCAAAATCCAGGGTGCCCCCAGTCCCTGTCACGTGGATCCCCCAATCCCAAACACCCGACACCCCAAATCTGACACACCTGAGCTCCCCCAAATCCGACACCTGGAACCCCAAAATCCAGTGTGTCCCCAAATCCCAAACACCTGGGACCCCAAATCCGTGGTACCTGACACCCCGGGTGGATGTTTGGGTCCTCCAAAAAATTCAGAGGCCCCCCCAAGCCTTAACACCTGGGATTCCCTGATCCCAAATACCTGGGACCACAATCCCAAACAGCTGGATCCCCCAAATCCCAAACACCTGGATCCCGGATCCCAAACACCTGGATCCCCCAAATGATCCGAAACAGCTGGATCCCCCAATCCCAAACATCTGGATCCCCTGGACACCCGGCATGTTTGGGTCTCCCAAAATTCAGGAACCCCCAACCCCTGACACCCGGGACCCCAAAACCTGGATTCCCAATCCCAAACACCTGGATCCCCAACACCTGGATGCCCCAAATCCCAATGCCTGGGACCTCCCAAACACCTGGATCCCCAACACCTGGATCCCAAACAGCTGGATCCCAAACAGCTGGATCCCCAACACCTGGATCCCAAACAGCTGGATCCCCCAAACCCCCGGGTCGCCCCGAATCCCGGATTTCCCATTCCCGGGTTCTGGGACACCCCAAGAGCCGGGCCCAGGTCGGGGCTGTTGTGCCGGCCTTGCACGCTCACTGCACCTTACACACCCTTACACACTCATCACACCCTTACACAGCCCTTACACACTCACCACACACCCCTTACACACCCTTACATTGCACTTACACACCTCTTACACACCCTTACATAGCACGTACCCCTTACACATCCTTACACATCCTTACACAACCTTTACACACCCCTTACACAGCCTTTACACACCCACCACACACCCCTTACACAGCCCTTACACAGTTCTTACACAACCGTTACACACCCCTTACACAACCGTTACACACCCCTTACACACCCTTACATAGCACTTACACACCCCTTACACAGCCTTTACACACCACTTACACACCCATTAGACACCCCTTACACACTCCAGACACACCCTTTACACCACCTTTACACACTTCCTACACACCCTTACACACTTCTTGCACACTGCCTACACAGCCCTTACACAGCCCTTATGCAACCCTTACACACCCCTTACACGCTCCTTGCACAGTCCTCACACGCCCCTTACGCAACCCTTACACACTCACCACACAGCCCTTACACACTCCTTACACACCCCTTTTGCACAGCCCTGTGCACCCTGAGATGGTGTACAGATATTACACACCCCTTACACACCCTTTACACACTCCTTACACCTCTGGGCTGTTGTACAGCCCTTACACACCCTTACACACCTGGGGTATTGTATAGACCTTACACACCCCTTACACATCCCTGAGCAATTCTGGGGTGTTGTGCAGCCCTTACACACCCCTTACACACTTGGGATGCTGTATAGAACTTACACACACCCTGCACACCCCTTACACACCCCTTACACACCCGGGGTGTTATACAGCCTTTTCACATCCCTTACACACCCCTGGGCACCCCTGCGGTGTTGTACACACCTTACACACCCCTTACACAGCCATTACACACTCCTTACACACCCCTTGCACACCTGGGGTGCTGCACCAGCCTTACACAAGTGTTACACAAACCTTGTACATCTGGGATGTTGTAGAGCCCTTACACAGCCCTTACACCCCCCTTACACACCTGGGGTGTTGTACATCCATCACACAGCCCTTACACAGCCCTTACACACCACTTGCACACCCCTTACACACTCCTTACACACCTCTTACACACCCCTTACACACCTGAGGTACTGTGCAGCCTTCTCACACCCTTTACACACCCCTGCGGTGTTGTACACACCTTACACAGCCCTCACACAATTGTGCAGAAGTACAGCCCTTACACACCCCTTACACACCCCTTACATGCCCCGTACTCACACCTTACACACCCACTACACAGCCCTTACACCCCTGGGGTGTTGTGCAGCCTTTTCACACCCCTTACACACCCCTGGGCACCCCTGGGGTGTTGTACACACCTTACACACACCTTACACACCCATTGCACACGTGGGGCATTGTACACCCCTTACACACCCCTTACACACCCCTTACTCACCCCTTACACACCCATTACACACCCCTTACACACCCTTCACTCACCTCTTACACACCAGGGGAATTGTTCACCCCTTACTCACCCCTTACACACCCCTTACACACCTGGGGCATTGTACAGCCTTTACACACCCCTTACATACCCATTACACACCCGGGGAATTGTACAGCCCTTACACACCCCTCACTCACACCTTACTCACCCCTTACACACCCAGAGAATTGTACACCCCTTACACACCCCTTACAAACCCCTTACACACCTGGGGAATTGTACAGCCTTTACACCCCCCTTACATACCCATTACACCCCCGGGGAATTGTACAGCCCTTACACACCCCTCACTCACTCCTTACTCACCCCTTACATACCCATTACACACCCAGAGAATTGCACACCCCTTACACACCCCTCACTCACACCTTACTCACCCCTTACACACACATTACACACATGGGGCACTGTACAGCCCTTACACACCCCTTACACACACATTACACACCCCTTACTCACCCCCCACACACCCCTCACACCCCTGGGGTGTCGCCCACCCCTCGCTGCCCCCCCCGTCCCCCCCGTGTCCCTCACCGTGGCAGCCCGAGTAATGGGGGGGTGAAATTAATGAGGGGATGAATTAATGGAGGGAATTAATGCAGACGTGAATTAATGAGGGGTTGAATTAATGGGGGGGGTGAATTAACTGGGGGTGAGTTAATGAGGGGGGAGGGGGGACCGCGCTGTCCGGACCCCCC